CCAATCGCATAGCGAGTTGCCCCACTCACAACAACAAAAATCCCACACTGTGGAGCTATCGACCCGTGAGCTTTGGTCCACAACAGCCACAACATCCACTGTCGTCATCCACCAGCATCTCCCCAAATACCTAGGAGTCAACGCTGCCACCGTCCTCGCGCCCCCTTGGAAGAAGGAAGCGGAGAAACCTTCCATTTGGTCCTTCTGCGCCAGCAGACCCCGAACCAGCAAGGAACCAACGCCGTTGGAATAAATAAGTAAAACCCCCCCCTAAAAACCGTAAGTAAGCGCTTGAATCTCCCTTTGCGTCCCCACGGAAAATATAATTTCAATATACATACATACATACATAAGTATATCGCTTCCAAACATTTAGAAGTTTGAAAAAACCTTTGTGCGCCTTTTCCAAAAAAACGGAACCCTCATTCCGTTAAAAAATATAGCTAGCAATTGTACATATGTACATGTTTAATTTCGTGCAAATAATTCCCGCAATTTAAAGAAAATCCCGTATATTAATTATACATATAGCTCTCCTTCTCTGCGCTTATGTACTTAACTGCTTAAAAACTCTTATACTTTATACATACAGTCCACAGAATACTTTATACATACAGTCCACAGATACATACACAAGTACATAAGTACATACGTTTAATCTCTTATCTCATCTGCAGTTACAAAATTCAAATATAAAATTAATATCATTGATATTTATCATACCAAATTTCCATACCTCACATTTGCATGAAAATTAAATTAAGCAATTATAGTAAAATAATAATTTTCTCAGTAGTGCACCCCTAATCTCAAATTCGCAAGCGCGCAAGAGAATATAAAGCGATATATATACACATATTTACATATATAAATATACACAAATTTACATATATAAAGTGCGATACAGTGGTCGGTTTGCATTGGAAAAGTATTCAGAAATAAAAGTACAAACACCATCGGTTACAGTCCCGTGAATTAAATTTGCATTTTACCCAAAGTTAATAAAAGCGCATTCTCGTTCTTCCACTGAGTGGCCCTTTTACATATACATAGAATTGCGGTTACAGTCGCGAAAAAAAAAAAAAAAACTTGCATTTACATAAACTAAATTTTTCTCGTACTCTTTCATTCGTTGAGCAAGTTTCTCGAAATAACTATATTCTCAAAAACGGTTAAATAAATAAATTTGTAAATAAATTAAATCTCTATTTTTCCCTAATTCGCAATCGAGCACTGACAGAATCGCAAAACTCACACATTTCATTATTTATTTGCTCATTTTATATCTGTATATTTACTTCTCTGGCATTCCTTTAACAAGGAATTGCATTAAATTCTCTGGCATTCCCTTAAAAAGGAATTGCATTAAATTCTCTGGCATTCCTGTAAGAGGAATCGCATTTACTTAAAAAAAAAAAAAATTTTCATTCTTGTAGTATTCTCGAGTTCTTTGCATCTCCCTCAGGCATCCCTCTCTCTCAGTCCCTCAACCCCAGTCCTTTCAGACTAAATTATAAATTTTCTCGGGGCTTAACGAAGAATCCCAAGTTCCCAAAATGAGTGATGAAGAGAAAATCGTTGCGATCGAAACTCAACGCTCTGCCCGCTCAAGCGGGAAAACTTCAAAAAAACAAAGGCAATTGGCCTCCGTTAAGTTTACTGCAGAGACTGATAATTTAGTCGATTACTGTTCAAGATTCAAATCCCTACCTCTCGAAAATAACTCAGAATCAAGCCTGAAAATAAAAGATACGAGTTTAGACAATTTTTGGAATCGAGTTCAAAACTCTTATGATGTAGTTGTAGAGGCAGACGAGCAAGACCTTCCCGAAGATTTCAAAGCAAGTGCTTTTCGCAGATATCGGTCTTGTCTCGATCAATATGAAGACACTAAAGCTCAAATCGCTGACCAGCTCCATCTTCATAAGCAAGTGAGCACTCCCATGCCTACTCCCTCTTCATCACAACCCAAACGCCAGTCTGGCCTCGGCTTAACCGTCCCTCCTTGTGACACCGAAGTATTTTACGGAAGTTATGAACAATGGCCCTCTTTCCGGGATATGTTCACAGCGGTATACATAAATCACCCTGAACTCACCCAAGGCCAAAAGTTGTACCATCTCAGGTACAAAACTCAAGGTAAAGCCAATCAAATAGTAAAGCAATTCTCTCTCTGTGATGAAAGCTTTAATCTCGCATGGGAAGCACTTCGGTCTCGATATGAGAATAAGCGTATTTTGGTAGACAACCAAATACGAATCTTAATGAACCTCAAACCCATTCCCACCGAAAGCAGCGAAGACATACAAAGGCTGCAGTCTTCTGTAAACAACTGCCTTCAAATTCTCGCAACTCAGCAAGTCTCAACCGAAAATTGGGACCCCATCCTCATCTATATAGTCACCTCTAAGCTTCCCGAAACCACAGTATCCCTGTGGGAACAATCCCTCAGCTCGAGGAAAGACCTCCCCAATTGGTCCCAAATGGACCAGTTTCTCACTACTCGTTATGAAGTGGCCGAAAGAGTTGATCAATGGCGCCTGCCGAAGGCGAGACCTCCTGTTCAGCCCACTAGCTCTTCAAAGCCGCCTTTCTCTTATAACAAACCACCTTTTAAACCCCCTCACTCTCAAAACTTTCAAAACAGATCGATGTCACAAATACAATCTCACGTGACAGAGCAGCGAATAATGCACAAATGTTCGATGTGTAAGACCTCCTCTCATTCGCTGTGGAACTGCTTCAAATTCCGAAAGTTGTCAATCTCTGATTGCAAGAAGTTCGTAAGAGAAAATAATATGTGCTTCAACTGTCTATCCCAGTCACACTTGTTGAAAGATTGCCCTAGCACACAAACTTGTAGCCATTGTAATGAACGGCACAACTCAGTGCTCCATGAAGCCACAAACTCCATGCCGAAAAGGCAACCCCCAAGAGTACAAAAAACCACTTCGCAAGTGGCAACCACAATTTCTACAAACTCAAGTGTGCACACTTCACCCCAAACAGACACTAATGAACAGGAAGCAGTTGGAACTCAGGTGCAATCATTCTATTCAGAGAATGAGAGCAAAATACTCCTCCCGACAGCTATGGTACCGGTATCACACCGAGGAGAAATATTTAAACTCAGAGCTCTTATAGATCAGGGGTCAGAACGAAGCTTTATCTCCACCAAAGCTCAAAATAAGCTAGGGCTGCCCTGCAAATCCTCAAAATTTGAAATCTCGGGCATGGGTGGAAGAGTTGTTCAAACTTCGAACAAATTATGCTCTTTAGTCTTGGTTTCCGCCGATCTCCAAACTAAAATAAATGCTCAAGCTATCGTGTTACCACAGCTGACAAAAATGCTCCCCAAGTTCCCACTTAATCAGGACCACAAAGAAAAATGGTCTCATCTGAAACTGGCAGATCCAAACTGCCACTCCCCAGCCCAGATTGACCTCGTGTTAGGCAGTGATATCATCCCTCAAATAATCGAGGAGGGCATTGAAAAAATCTCACCAACTCTGCTAGCTCAAAAGACAATATTCGGTTGGATACTTAGTGGTCAGATTTACGAAAATATAGCTTCATACTCTACACAAATAGAGGAAATTTCTAATGAGCATCTCAACTCACAATTGCGTCGGTTTTGGGAACTAGAAGAAGTTCCAAAACTCAAGCATACCACCCCTGAAGACGACTTTTGCGAAGATTTCTATAAATCCACCACTTCTCGCAACTCTGATGGTCGTTATGTGGTCAGGCTTCCGTTCAAGCCAAGCTTCCCCAAAGAAATCTCTTTAGGTTACTCTCGCTCCTCAGCGCTTCAGCAATTTCTCGGAATGGAGAGAAACCTCCTCAAAAAGGGCGATTTAAAGGCCTCATATGATAATGTCCTGGAAGAATACCTCACCCTAAACCACATGGAAAAAACGGTTTCCCAAGAAAAATTCCTCTCAGGCAAGTACATGTCGTTCTATCTCCCTCACCATGCGGTCATTAAGCCCGAAAAACGAACGACAAAGGTACGAGTTGTCTTTAATGCATCAAAGATTTCGGGATCCGGTTACTCTCTTAACGATGTATTATATACCGGACCAACTCTCCAGCCTGATTTGATGCTTCTCATCCTCAAGTGGCGAATGTATAAATTTGTATTTAATGGTGATGTCGAAAAGATGTACCGACAAATACTGCTACATCCCGAAGACCAGGACTTTCAAAGAATAATCTTTCGTTCACCCACAACCAGTCCCATTCAAGATTATAAACTAAAAACGGTCACATTCGGTGTAAACTGTGCGCCCTACCTCGCCATTCGCACACTTCACCAAGTAGCACAAGATGAAAAAACCAACTACCCAATGGCCGCCCACATTCTGAATAAAGAGACGTATGTGGATGACATACTCTCCGGCAGCCACGATCTGACAATCGCCACTCAATCTCTCACCCAAGTCATTCAGGCTCTAAACTCGGCAGGCTTTCCCTTAAAGAAAATAACAGCGAACCACCCAGAAATTCTCAAAAATATAAGGAAAGAGGACTTGCTCGATACTAATTTTCTCGAGTTCGAAAAGGCAAGTACCACAAAGACTCTAGGGATCCAATGGAACGCGCTCACAGACACGTTTTCCTATACGATCGACTCCATCCCAGCCTTATCTGCTAGCACTAAACGACAGATTCTCTCCTCTGTCGCGAAACTTTTTGACCCCGCAGGGTGGCTTACGCCGATAATGATCCAGGCAAAGATTCTCTTACAAGAGCTCTGGATCGACGGAACTGACTGGGACGAAAAAGTCAAGCCCCTCCGTCTTGTTAAATGGTCTCAGTTCGCACAAAATCTCCACACAATCTCGACCATTCAAATACCCCGATGGGTAAACTTTGTTCCCGACCAGCATGTTGAACTCCATGGATTCTGCGACGCCTCAGAAAAGGCATATTGTGCCAACGTATATGTTCGAACTACTCATGGTTCCAGTATGTCTTCTCATCTTCTGGTTTCCAAAGGCAAGGTAGCACCCCTTCGAACAACTAGCTTACCCCGGCTTGAGCTCTGCGGAGCTCTTCTCTTAGCCAAACTTGTCGCAGCTATTCAGTCCCATCTCGACCTCTCTAAAAGAAAACTGGTACTATGGTCTGACTCTGAGATTGTATTGGCATGGCTGGAAAAACCACCCCACTCTTGGAAAACGTTCGTCTCTAATCGCACCGCGGAGATCTTGGAACTCGTCGGAAACGCCACCTGGCGACATGTATGCAGCAGCGACAACCCCGCAGATATGGGCACAAGGGGTTGCAAGCCACTAGACTTAGCAGCGTCGTCGTTATGGTGGAATGGTCCTGAGTGGCTATCCAAGCCCCCCGAAGGATGGCCAAAAGCCCCAGTCCGCAATGTCAACCCCCCGGAAGTACGAAGAGTGGAGGCACTCCTCACAACCGAAGAAGACCCCGACATTCTGGACAGGTTTTCCTCTTTCTCTCGAGCCTTGAGAGTGATGGCTTACGTCTTCAAGTTCATCAGACGACTAAAGGACAAAGGGACAGGAGCTTCTGACCGCGCATCATCCCCGCTATCACATGATGAGCTCCGCCAAGCGAAAATTCGTCTGCTCATCCTTACGCAAACCCGTCACTTCCCCCATGAAAAAGCCCGCTTAGAAGACTCAAAACCCATTGACAAAAAGAGTTCCCTATTAGTTCTTAACCCCTTCTTGGATAAAAATGGAGTTCTCCGCGTCAATGGACGCCTTGCTCATGCTACCCTGAGCTATAACGAACGTCACCCCATTATAATTCCGGAAAAGTCCCGATTCGCATTTCTCTATCTAAAATTTCTCCATGATCTCCTGCTCCATGCAGAAGTACGACTTATGCAGCAGATGACCAGGCAAGAATTGTATATTCCCCGGCTAAAACCCCTCATCAAAAAATGCATTTATCAATGTAAATCATGCACCATTCACAAACAGCAAATGCGCTCGCAGATTATGGCTGCCCTGCCGCCCGAACGATGCACCTTCGCTCCGCCCTTCACCACCACCGGTGTCGATTTTGCTGGGCCTTTTCAAATAAAAGCCTCTATGCTAAGATCCCCCGCTTTAGTGAAAGGCTATGTGGCCGTCTTTGTGTGCTTCACAACAAAGGCGGTACACCTCGAGCTGTGCTCAGACCTGACCAAAGAGGCATTTCTCGCCGCCTTTGCTCGTTTTGTTGGTCGCCGTGGTTACCCCGCTAAAATGATGAGCGACAATGGCAAAACTTTTATAGGAGCCAAAAGAGCCATTGAAAAGGAGTTCTCTGTCTTTCTCCAAACTGTATCCCGTGATATTGTCCAAAAATACTCACCCCAGGGTATTAATTGGCAGTTTATCCCTCCCAGCGCCCCGCACATGGGTGGCTTATGGGAGTCTGCAGTTAAAAGTTTTAAACTTCACTTCAAAAGGACTGCCGGCCCCCATAAATTTACGTTTGAGGAGTTTACTACCCTTTTAATAAGAGTAGAAGCTGTATTAAATTCTCGTCCGATATCTCCACTCACCCAGGATCCGACGGACTTAACAGCGCTCTCACCTGGCCACTTCCTCCGGGGTGCTCCCCTCCTATCTTTCCCCGAATCTAATCACGAAAAACTCTCGCTCATTAATAGATGGGAAAAACTCAAGGTCTTGCACCACCAATTCGCAAAACGATGGAAGGAAGACTACCTCAAAGACCTTCATAAGCGACACAGGTGGAAGAATGCTCAAGTAGAACCCAGAATCGGAGAATGCGTAGTCATTAATGATGACACACTCCCGCCCACGGAATGGCGCCTGGGCCGCATCGAAAGGTTGCACCCTGGCAAGGATGGACACATTCGTGTGGTCGACGTCCGCACCCAAACCGGCCTCCTCACTCGGCCATTAGTAAAATTAGTATTTCTGCCTTCGAGCGAAGATGTCCCCTCTCGCCTTGAAGCCGATTAACCACTCCATACATCCCTTACCTCAATAACGCAGCCAGATAGCTGTATATGTATTTGCCTATTTCCACACACGACACATACCTACACACTTCTCGTAGCTGTCTCATATGTCTCCCACCTGGTATAATACGAAAAACTAAAAATCTCCGTATATAAAATCTTTACAGATGGACCACAGTGGAACCCCAACGCCAGCGCCGCGCGCATTACTCAAGTCCAAAGTGGTAATGACACCCTCCGTGGAACGCGAACCATCACCTGGCTCTCACCGTATCGAGGAGGACTACCAACGATGCCGCTTGTGCACCCGTCACCACGCACTGCGTCTATGCCCCGTGTTTGCAAGTATGCAGCCGCAGCAACGGTTTTTGTTGGCAAGGGCACATAAATATTGTACGAACTGTCTGGCGTTGTCGCACACTACAGCTGAATGTACCTCAAGTGGTCTTTGCAAGGTTTGTTCACTGCAGCACCACACCCTCTTGCATCGACGTAGTACATCGACAGTCCGCCGCAGCAGCCCGAATGCCGCAGTGCAGCCCCTCAAACGACTAGTTCAGCCCAAGTTACACTCCCCACAACGTGGGGGATCAGGGCGTACCCCAGCTCGCTCCAAGCACCTCCGACACCATCCAACGGCCACGAACGTCGAAAACCGTAGAGTCCGGCGCACGAAGGAGGGACTGCAAACCGCAAATTACCGAGACAAGACCACAAAGCTATTGGTTCAGGAGGCGCTCAGGACACTCCAGGAGTTAAAGGAAGCACTATCCGCTTAATGCGGCTAGGGCCGGCTGGATGTTCACGCGAACAACGCTGCAGCATGTTCGCCGTTAACTTCGGATCATCCAATTACATTTTTTTCTTCATATAAATGCGGCAATTTGTTTGCAATGAATTTTGTATTTTTTGTCTAAACTGATAGTCTAGGCGCTATGTAAGCATCTGGCGATACGGGTGGCAATGCATGTATTGTCTACTCGTATCTGTGTAGACTTTTTTTGACATTTGTTTTGCATACATATATATATACCCGTGCTGAAAAGAACTAAAAACACTTTCGATTTTTATACATTCGAGCTCGTGCATATCTAGTTGTAGAAAAATTACTCTTTATTCGCAAAACCCGTGAAATAAGTTGTGAAAATACAATAAACCAATCACTTGAATTTAACCAGTTAACCTGCGTGGTTTTATTATATTCGGTTGTTGTTTTGATTCAGCGTGTGTTGGTTTAATCGCAGCCGGTCCGCGACCCGTGTTTGGTGATAAAATTCCACCTTCGCTTCCGGCTTCATCAGTGCTCCCGTCGTGCCGACAATTGGAAATCTCCGGCAAGCATCGCCCAATCGCATAGCGAGTTGCCCCACTCACAACAACAAAAATCCCACA